CATTTGATACACTTGCAACTTGCAAGAACAAAGCCGGCTTGTTACAATAACAATCATTATTTGTAGTATAATATAATTTCAGATATTTTCGGATTTAACCGATGTATAATATATGTTATATTATATTATTCTTTCAATTCAATTAAGATAACTCACATAATGATCGATATTTGCGGCATAAAGTCAGCCGGAAGTTCGAAAAGTTTTCTATTAGGTACATGGAGAGTATGAGAATTATTGATCCGTTTCAACCCATTTTGACTATAGAGGCATATATTATCAGAAAAGGTATTTCTCCGAACTTCTATAATATATCTCACAGGTTGACCAATATTTTCGTAAAAAGTTCGCAACATTAACTGCGGTCCCCATATTCGGTATCTGTTCAAGAGTTAATTTGGACAATTTTTAATCATATAGTGGCACACTTCATAGACAGTATTTGGGAAAGTTTTATTTCAGCATTAGTGAATAATGTTACGTCACCTATATATATATACTGGTATATATGATCATTATGTGAGTTATCTTAATTGAATTGAAAGAATATATACTGGTATATATATATAATATATATATAACCTTATGTCTAACTCAATTAGACTATTATATTGTAGTATAGTAGTAGTGTGTTGCAACATGTTGCAAAAGTATAAAAATTAAGATATCAATAAAAATATTTTCAACACTAATTTCACAAGGGCCACCAAGCATTATTTATTTTGCATTTTATCGCATTTGATTTCGGTTATGGTTTGGCAAATGGCAGTGACAAGACAGCATGCAAATCAATTAGCATAGAAATGAGTAAGCAAATTTATTGCACACATTTTTTGGAAATAATATTTATATACACAGCTTTATTTTGTTTTATTTCATTTGTTTGGGAGATAGTTTTATTAATGATGTTTTGCTTTGAAGGGCCTTGAAATTGGTTGGAGTGAAGTCCAACATATTAATATTAAAATAATGTAATAGTGGTTCAAAATAAAAAAATTGTAAATTAGCCAATTTTTCATTTGCATAAATTTTGCCAATAAATGTCAAACTAACACATAGATTTGTGTTCGAATTAAAGTGAAAGAATCTGGTTTATGCGCTCACTTATACTTAACGAGAACGGGTGGTTAGTGCAGTCCAGTTATGACCTCTTACAAAAATAGCTTTAGTAAGGCCAGTCTTAAATACCATTCACATTAAATACAAATAACGGGTTGGCTAAAATTCGTATTATTTTAATGTTTAAAGTTTACGACAATTCGATGCTATTATGCATTGTACTTGCCATTAAGGACGATATTCTGATTATAAAGGTCTTCCAACTTTTCGATATAATTTTTATAACGCAATTAGTGTAAATAGGCAGGAGTTTGAAATTTGGATATTTTGTATATGGGGGATAGAAGTTACATTGACCTGACTTTATCCACTTTTGACGTGATGACATATTATTGCCAGAAAAAGATTCTCTATGAGTTTTGTTAAGATTCCTCACTGGTTGGCCGATATTTTTGTAATAAACTCTTCCGGTTGTTTAAAAATGTTTTTATTCGGTATATGGGAGCTAGAGGAAGTATTCACCTGATGTCACATATTTTAAATAGAAAAGACCATTATTTTCATAGTCTGTAAATTCTCAGTCATAGGCTCTGAGTTCCACAAATTCGGTATCTGGCGGCTAAAATAGCCCCGATCTCTACGGATTAAAAAATTGGGATTTATGCGAAGTGTGCGTAATCTTAGTCAAGATAGTGATGTACAGCAGAATTTTGTTGAATTTGGTCTAGTAGTTTCCAAAGTTAGGGATTTCACTTAAAAGTGGGCGATGTCAGGACCATTTTCTTATTTTAACACCTATAGGACCTGCAGTATGAGGGATATGAACTTGAAACGTATTTGATTAGTGACTTATCACACTTTAACTAGTTTTCAACATAACTGTTTTATGGGGAGTGGGCGTGGTTATCATCCGATTTCAACCAGCTTACTAAAAGGATATATCCTCAGAGAGTTTGATTGAAAAGGCTTTAGTGGTTTGTGAGATATGTGCATTATTATTAAAGGATGGGTATATGTTCACTTTCTAAAAATTTTCACACCACAGATGTCTCTCCTGATCTCAACTTTCTGTACCAAATTGAAGTTATATATCTTAATTTGTGACTTAGTTATAGCATTTTATAATGAATCGCTTAACGCTATTATGTGAGTATGGCATTGGTCCAATATTCCCTATATGTAATACCAACCTTCGCAAAGTGCCAAGTTTTTCATCAATAAATTTTAATTTTTACCTTTTAGTTATCGCTTGTACGGACAAACGGACTGACAGACAGGTTTTTCCAGTGCTCTTTTTATACCCTGAAGGGGATATATGTATTAAGTTTGCCATATAGTTTGTAACACCCAGAAAAAAACGCCGGAGTAATCATGGCCGTCTGTCTGTCGTTTGTCTGAATAACTGCGAACTGCTGATAACGGACCACTATAGCAAATAGCTGCCATACCAACTGAACGATCAAAATCATGTCCGTGTGTGGAAAACTTTTTTATTTAAAGGTTATTGTCCAAGGCAACGAAGCAGTCTCCAGATTCTTTAGATCGCACAACTGCATATAGCTGCCACACAAACTGAACGACCAGAATCAAGTGCTTGTAAAGAATCTTTTTTTTTTTTTGGAAAAGTTTTATAGCTTCAGTGCAACCGAAGTTAACACTTTGTCTTGTTTTAGAATTGTGTAGTTTTATGTATTTATTTGTTATTAACTTCAATTTATTCGCTATAGCTGTTTCTTTACATTAAGTTTTTTTTGTAGCATTGTAAGAACAACTTTATTTATTTAGGTAACTGCTAAAGAAAATAAGTTAAACGAATGTAACATCAACATAACAAATCGCGTATGATAAATGATAATTTGTAAACTTAACCTAAAAGCGAACAGGAATGCCAACGAAAAGTGAACATTTAAAGTTTATCCTAAGAAATATGCTTCGGTCTGCCTCGGTAAAAGTTGTCGTACTATAAATTTTGGTTTAACCAATCTAATTACTCTTAATATGCAAATTTATATTTTATACTCTTAGTTTATCACTGACATTTAATGTAAATATAAATGTATGGCATTATATAATAATACGTGATCAATAAGCCGTGACAATTTCTTGAGCTTATATAGCTATATACATAAGTACCATACCTAAACACCATCTTGATATATGTATGTGTAGATTAAATTATTTTACGCTCTAATTACTTCCCTGAAGATCGGAGTTTGCATTTTGATAACTGCCACATATTATATATTCGCTCATATAATATTTTGAATAATGCATAATCAAAAGCTATATTTTTTAATATGCATTTAAGTACGTCGTACTCAAATAACTCATAACAAAGTTATTTGAATTAATAAGCGTTTATAAAAGTTGATGTTCGTGAGGGATTTCTTGATAAATATAAACACGTTATGATAAAGTAATAAGAACGAAATAGCCATGTAACTCTTTTACCGTTTTATAATACATTTATACATGGTATATATCTGTGTCTAAAGCCTCAGAAACCACTGCTGTTGCTGAAATATTCACTATAGCATTTACCACTGAGAGCGTTCTGCAGAAGTTCATATTTCTATGAAAGGGTTGCCACCTGTTTGAAAACTATATATAATACATACATACATACATATACTTAAATTATGAACGTGGACAGGGAGTGAGTCAGTGGACTAAGCCATGCCCGTTTGTCTGTCCCCCTGCATATACGCAAACTAGTCCCTCAGTTTTTTTTCTAGACCAACACAACGATATACCTTACATACAAATTGATGGATCAAGTTTTTCAAACTTTTTTATTTGTAAATGGTGCTAATATTTTGGCGCAACCGAGTTAAGGGAAACGTCAGAGACCCTATAAAGTATATATATACTTGTATGTATGGTATATAAATGGTTAGCATGACGAGCTGAGTCAATTTAGCTATGTCCGTCTATCTGTATATACGGGAACTAGTCTCTCAGTTTTTTAGATATCAACAGAAGCTGCTCATTTGTCGGAGTCGCCGATATACAAGTATACCACATATAGCTGCCATACAAACTGAACGATCGGAGTCAAGTGCTTGTATGGAAAAATTTTTCATTTGACGGGATATCTGCACGAAATTTTGCATGGGTTGCTATCTAAGGCAATAATGCAATCTCCAGAGAAATTGTTCAGACCGGATCACTATAGTATATAGATGCCATAAAAATGAACAATCGGAATCAAGTTGTTGTAAAGTATCTTTTTTTTTTGGGAAATGTATTATAACTTTGATGCAACCGAATTAACATATTTTCTTGTTTTTTCTCAGTTCACTATTGTTAATCGTATAGACGATGTTTTCGCTAAGATATATGGTAAATATAGATATAGGTATAGATATAGATATAGATATAGATATAGATATAGATATAGATATAGATATAGATATA